ACGTATCATTGAAATGATACATAAAGCACTCCGAGGACGACCCGACGTTTACGTGTATCATTTATATGATAGACACGGAGGGCAGACCCTAATATACTCGCCAAAGCGTAATTGGATTTTTGGGAAGATTTGCGAAACCTTATAGGCGCGGCTTTTTAAGAGCTTTTTTTCATGAAATTTCACTCCGCAACGTTTCCTTAGCTCTTCGGCGTGTAATATACTAGTAACCGAACCTCGTAAGCCGTGACCCGGAAGTAGATGGGATTAGCGGTATCACGGAAACCCCCATACAGTTCGAAAACCTACGCCGAAATGAGTTCTTAGCTAGCGAATAAAGGTCAACTTTGACGCTACAAAACTCGTTTTTGTGTACAAAGTGTGATCTTCAAGTGAACTTCCCGAGGTTCCCTGACTTGTAAGGATTACAACAACATATATTTTAGCCTGGCTTTCCCGATTCTGACTGCGCTATGATAAATTCTGTGAACCATGCTAAGGACTCATTTCGGCGGTTAACAGGTGGACCACGTCGACATTCGGCCGAGATACGCTGGGAGGGGGGCACCAGCAAGCAGGTCGTTGACCTCTGACAATAATGGCACACTACCTAGCGTGTTTTCATCAAACAACAATGAATGTAGCTTCGGAGAATCGTGATCGGGCACGTTTTAAAAGGAATGTATGACACGTGGACCAGATGTGAGGAATGTGAGTTACCCGAATCGCGGTTTGGGTGACTTCACATAAACACGGCCTTATATATTAACTTGATTGCGTCACCGCCACCGTCTTGTATTTCTTTTCATATGCTTTAATAAAAAAGGTCCTCTTCCCCACACCCCACTCGTAGACCTCCCTACTCTTTTCCCCACACCCCACTCGTAGCCCTCCCTACTCTTTTCCCCATACCCCAATCGTAGCCCTCCCCTGACTCTTCCCCACACCCCACTCGTAGCCCTCCCTACTCTTTTCCCCATACCCCAATCGTAGCCCTCCCTACTCTTTTCCCCACACCCCACTCGTAGCCCTCCCTACTCTTTTCCCCACACCCCACTCGTAGCCCTCCCTACTCTTTTCCCCACACCCCAATCGTAGCCATTCCTACTCTTCCCCATACACCAATTGTAGCCCTCCCTACTCTTCCCCATACCCCAATCGTAGCCCTCCCTACTCTTCCCTACACCCCACTCGTAGTCCCCTGTCCATGCTCTCTCTCTCGTTCTCTTTCTCTCTCCCTCAAGGAGTTCATTTACATACATGCTGTCAAAGATCTCTTCCTCTCCTTTGTGTAGTACACAGTGATGATGAATTCGTACGCTGTACCAACAAGCACGAGAACGCCGATGGAAAAGACAAATAACCTGCAACGCAAAAATAGAATTATCATGAGGCGTGTTCTCCAAGAGTGATTGAAAAGAGATTGTCAAATTAGTGCTTGGTATAATTTACTATTTACAGTGGTGTTTGCTCACCTTATTACTACCTGGTAATCATTGATTAATTATGCAATAATAGATCAATTGAATTATCTATTCTAACACTATTAAATAATACATTATTAAACAAAACATTAAAATTATCATTAACTATGAATTAAATTATTCAGTTAAATAGTTAATAAATTATTAAACTCAAACATTAAAGCCATGAATTTACGTAGTCGTACCAAAGTTCATAATCATGTATATAAATTAACTTACCCTTGAATAATGGTCCATTGAATTGGCACGCCTTCGTCATCGTTCCCTTCACGTACACAGTCCACATCTCTTGGTGTCCATTTTGACCCCTCTGGTTTGATACCAAGAAGACCTAGAAGGTGCAAGATAAAGCTTTGACGTATTCATGTACAGATGTACTACAGTAGTATGAACTCTCACTTCGACTGTATGTTCCGGGGGAAAGCTACTAGTATGCCAAAGCAAGATATCAACAGAAACAGCTATGGTCCGATGTTATCAAATGCTGACGATAGAAAACCCAACACATGTACTGTTTTATGCTGCACGTAGAATGGGTTGCACTATATTTTTGTGCATGTTGGGCTCCACTGCCACTGTCTGAAAATAAAAGCTGCTATCGAAATTTGACGTGTTCATCTTGACCAGTGCACTCCGATGTAGATCAACGCTTATCTTTCATAATTATCCTTAGCTTAATACGGGACTACAAATAATGGTTGTTATATATAAGTAGTGGGTCGATAGTAAACTTTGGGTCCCTGTAAACCATATATTATTTCCGAATGTTTAAATTTTGTCTTGTCAAATATAGCATGTAACGGTATACCTTTCTCTACAAGTACAGCCACTTCCTTCTCACTACACGACATCGGGGCGCAGACGCCTTGCCTGTGAGCATTACTGGAGTTGTGCAACTGCGAACAGAACAGAGAAAAATGAACAAGTAGATCAAGTAAAAAAAAGACCCTTTATAAGGCAAGACAAGAAAGTTCATTTTCTTTTCGAGACCCGACGGCAAGTGTAAGAAAACATACTATAACTAGTTATATGTGTGGCTCAAACAGAACTCAAACTGATATTAAGAATGCATAATATGCGAAATTTCTGTTTTTCGGCAAACAGTCTTGGGAGGTTCACCTGTGTTTTTTCTACCCAGCTCACGGTGCAGTACATCGCCTGGAAGGTAGGGAGCGTGTCCTGTGCAGAATTCGCTGCTACTCTGCATTCAGAAGTATTGCCTTGCTCAACCCTTCCTTCTCGCGTCTGGTTGGGGAAGTCAGCTCGACCTGTACTGTTCATCAGTTTCACTGCTCGTATGACACGCTGAGCGGGGCCCGTAGCAAGTGAAGCTTTAACTGTGGGCAAAAGCATTGAGGGAACAATTGATAGACACTGGAAATATCATATTGACTTATTTCTGAATCATCTGCTTGGAAGGTCTTCTCCTTACGGGTGCAGTAGTTGAAGGTCACGTACAAAGCATCTGGTAGTAATGGTACTGTCGGACGTTCACCTTTTCGGAAGCACCCGTTGGAATGGAGTGTAAACATGGACAACTGCCAGGCTACTTCACGTCTTGTGAAGATGAAAAGCAAAAATTCGAAATGGAGATACCGTGCATTGAGAACAACGTAGAAAGAAAGTATTGCCATGACCCCCGGGCACCGCAATGACATCCAAACGATCACGCCCAGAACCTCAGAGCCACTGATTTTTCTCCCTTCTAATCGATGATTAGTGTATTCTGTTAAAATGCTTTAAAATTCTGTTCAGCTTTAAAACAAGATTTTACCACTTGGTGTGCCCG